ACACGGACACTAACTTTTTCTTCGGTCACCACCAAACGTCTGAACCCGAATCATAGGGTTGATAAAAATTCATAGGATACTTCTCGTTGACCCATAACTCTGAAATTTGGCAAGTAACATCGTCTACAAGTAGGAGTACAGTGAAAAATCTGAAAACCATACAACTATACGCGCATAAGTTCTGAACGACTGCACCAAATTGGATAATTCTTTTTCTGTATGTTTCTTATTGTCAGGACAAGGTTTATATAAAAGAATTTTAATAAAAAAATTAAGAGATTTAAAAAAGGATCTCGTTATTAGAAAATTGGGTGAGTGAATGAGACATATAACTGTGAGAGATCTTCTATAAATTGACAAAACACTACTGTCAAGATTGACAGTATGGTGACATTAATTCATATACCCGGTGTGTCAGCAAACTACCTCACTAATTAAAAATAATTAGATTTATTTAAATTAGATTCTAATTGATTAAAATTGAAGTTTTAATAGTTATTACTAAGAAATAACCTGAAGAATCATATTATCTAAATACATCAAGACAATAAAACAACCTAACAACTTATAAACACGTGTATCAGAATGCGTCCTTTAGTAATACCTTAGAAATTAGAATACATCTTTAATTATCTTTATTTACTATCCTATGGATCTATGTGTCACTCTTGATAAGACCTTGGAATACAATACATCTTTAATTGTATTTACTGTTGTCTTTATTTACTACCGTCAGACCGTACGGATCTATGTACAACTCTTGGTAGAAACTTGGAAAATATTTTGTTTTTTTTTACTGTTGTTCGTCCGAGATCGTATCGGTCCGGAAATAACACAGGCGACCATTCCTTCCAAATAACATCTGCGGTGAACAGTAAAATATCTGGCATGTAGTGAGTCTGTACCAGTAGTGTATACTAGTACCTGCAGCGTTCATCATGCACACGCGGTGCTTGCGTGACTGGCGCCCTAAGTATTACTTTGACATAACAAACGTAAATAAATTGCCTATGTAGTACTTAAACTTTCGCAAATTACTGCAATGGCTCAGCAATCTCGTGATGTATTTATAAATACATACATGTTTAACTAGAGAAAATTATGAGAATTCATCATATGATTGGAAAATAGTATGAAAAAGGAAGTTGTAATATAGGTCTGGTAATATTTATTAATTATTAAAATAGTAGGCGAAAAACTTCTTTCTAAGGAGAGGCCTGAAAAGGCTTAAAGGCTGATGATGATTAAGATTGTTATTTTTTTTTAAATAAAAGTTGATTAATATTTATTTTTTCTTAGGCATAAATATATATATATATCATTACGTATATTGTGGCTATATTATGGTCTAACCTTAGTTGGTATTTCATTTCTTCTATTATTACCTTTGTCAAGTACACCTATCTCATGCTTTGTCTGTTTAAGTCAAACGATGTATAAACTGGTAGATAAAGTTAATGAAATTAACAACTGAAATTAAAAATAATCATTTTTATTTTTTTTTGTTTTGTGTATTTTATGTATACCATACTAAACTTACTTACAAAAAAAAGTAAAATTTCACTCAATCTAGCTTTAATAACAAGCTCTGCTTAGTTTGAAACTAGAGGGTGTTGTATGTCAGATGTCCGTAAAAACCTACGTAATTTCAAACAAACCACCGACTTGTAGGTGTGCTTTAAATTTCTATTAAACCTTTGCATTTAACAAAACTAACAAAACTAAACTGGTATTTTCCAGTACCATTATACGCAAAATAAAATATTTAGTAATTGATATTATGTAACTGCACACATACCACAGATCTACTGACGTGCATAAAATTAAAACCAGTGACGTCATCATTTGTTCCATCCGTCATCGTTCTTGAGATATTTTGAAATCTTTTGTTCGGAGTATTATCTAACACTTGACTTCGTAATTATTGTTAAATGATTTGTTCAAAGTGTAGAAACCGTAGAAATAGGGTAGATTATTATAATAATATACTACGTCTTTTATTAAAACAGGGTTACCCTCATCGTTATATAAATTGTTATGTGTAGTAATTTAGACTCACTAAAAACAATTTCACGGGGATTATTGTATTGTCTTCAGTCATATTACTCCGTAGCCTGGAGTCAAGATAACGTGGGTTGTTTGTGTAATGATTACTTTCCAAGCTTTTGTGAAGTTGTTGATTGTGTGGTGTATTAACTTTTTATACGTTTGTCAGTCTAATTTGTAACCCAAATGTTATTTGAGTATAAGAAACGTTTTTCCCTTGAAACCACAGTAAAAAAATTAAACTAATATAGACAGATAGATAAGTAATCTTAATTGCACACCATTTCTTGGAACACAATACATATAGTGTAGAATGCAAACAGAAAAGCAATGGTAAATGAGCGACCTAATCGCAATCTGCGATATCTTACAGACAACCTTTAGACGGATTATACTGTACAATAGTTTGTGGTGCGCAATTACAGTATACGTATATTAATATATATCAATTTTATTTTAGGTATACGCCGATATACACATGGACTCATCTCTTTCTCTCTTCGGTGGAATCAACAGCCCGACATTCAATTAGAAGCCCATCGAAGATCGACTCCTACGATCGAGATACTTCATAAATATGAGAAATAAAACTATTGTGACTCTCAAGATCAAGATAGGTAGCTTGGGGAAAAAGTATAAATGTTAATAAGGAATGGCTGGCCTGTAAACACCAGCTGCTGAGGGCTCAACCCGTGTCACGAATGACGCAGACGGACGGATTATAATAATGCTCGTCTCACTGGCCCTGTTATAATATATGATATACTACCCAAAAAAACGTAAAATAAATCTCTGTACGCGATGATTTAAATCTAAGAAAAGCAATTGCTACACTTTTTGTAATATCTTTTATCCATATTGTTATAATATCTTACACAATCTTCATCCAAAATTATCTTTTATTTTTAATATGTAGGTATCGTAAGTCTTAGACATTTTTAAAATAAAAGACATACACTCAGGTCTTCTATCCCCATGGGGGTAGACTCAAGAGTTTTAGATGCCGACTAGAACTTAAGTCCCACTCACGCAATAGGGGGGCAAGACTATTGCTGTCAACCGGGGATATATATTTATAAACAAATCTATGTATGTTTTCTTTGATATATAAATTTTATAGAAAAATTACACCTAGATGAAGAACAAACGATCGTGCTAATAGCTTTTATAGCATAGTACATGCTTTCCTTGTAAAGGACCTAACTATGCGACTTTGAAACGAAATGTCAAAAATACCTACCAATATCATTTTCTTGCCACGTTTAATGAAAAACTCAACAACAGCAAAATTATTTTGAATTTCCCAGTTCTACTACAATAAGCATTGCAAATGAACATACTTAATAGATGGATGGACTGGATGCCCTGATTTTGGATGATAATTCATTATAGTGCTAAATAAACCACAATTCACCTTTACAATTAACAATGATAAAATTAGGAGTATATATAAAAAACAAATTAAAGTAGACAGGTAGTCTTTCCTTCTCCAATCGAATGATAATGCTCAATGGAATGAATGGGGTGGTGCAATCAAAGGTTCAAGATCAAAATTGTTTTTATTAAGTAGTTTAGATTCCAGGATTCAGGGATTGCAGTGTTCCAAAAAATTTAAAATATATTAAAAACTTTTTTAACTGTTCTTCGTTCTTTCTCTCTTTCTTCTGATCATCTATGACGATAACTGGGATGGCGCCCGATTTAAAACCGAGAGCACGTTTCGGCGAGTGATTGTGTACTTGACTGCAAATTTATTGATCTTAAATATTAAAAAGATTAAACTAGTATGTTTTTACCTCGCCCACACCAGGCCTACTCTTCCTTATTCTGCCACTGTCAAAGCTCACACTTGCTTGCTTCCTCACAAATACTTCTGCCTTTTTCCGGAGCTCACCATGGTCTCTAGCAATAAGAACCTGGGGGTGTATATTGATAAACATCTTACCTGGTGCCCAATCATAGAGACAATTTGTGCACGCACTAAAAAATTGATATAAATCTTTAAGAAGCTGTGATATTACACCGACTATATAACTTCAGGTCTATCATTTTAAAAGTGATGCGTTTCAAACGTAGGGATTATCCCACCACTCTGCTTTACTTTATATCCTGCGTTCTGTGCTGTGCTTAGACTCCTCTCTTCCAGTCGACAGCAGTGTTTTTGTTAGACGGAAAGGCTCCGTGGTTTGTGCCCTCATGCCGTGTTGCACAACTTTTGCAAGTCGTTATTTTATCGTCCAAAGTGCACGTTTAGTTTACAACAAAATAAATCGTATCCTTAACATTTACTCCTTGACGCAATACAATCTGAAATATACTTGCGGGCTATTTGCAGAAGTTGTCATATGATATCTGAAGAATATCTTATCGTTTGTATATATTTATAACTGTCTCAATGCGTACCACATGATGTTTGTCAATGTTCTCCATAACTGTGACTATGCACATCCTATTAGTAGATCTATGACGTTGAATAAATTACTATCCAGATATATCACGGCTCCTAAGATACAGGTTTCGCACCTAGTTTAGGAGTCTGTTGTAACTGACTACATATTTGTGATCATATTACTACTTAAGCTCTGTTATGCCTGTGCATATTATGTATTATGCTTAAGCTAAGTGTATATATAAGAATTAAAGTAACTAAAGATTATTGTTATTATTTTTATTGTTTCTTCTCTCTTATAAAAAGTTTTTTGCTTCTTTAATCGGAATTGAAAATTTTATTCATATACATATATCTACATAATAAAAACACATACTTTAAACAGTTACTTGGCAGCAACATCGTTCATAATTAATTTCATGTTTATAAATGCTTTTAGTTTTTATTTCAAACAATTTTATCCATTCGAAATTATTCTTGGGTAAGAAATGCAGTGTAAGAAAATTGTATTTGAGCATTTTTTTAAATCAAACTATGTTATATAATGCACCTGTATATAATAAAAATGACTACCCTCGGTTTCTTAGTTACGTACTTCTGGCGTCACACATTTGCGTTTGCAAGAGTCTACTCTACAATTAAAAATACATTTGTTAATCATACAGAAGTTTGGAAACAAGAAGATAGACCTGTTACAACACCTATGTCTAGGAAACAGGGTGAAGATATTATATGTGGAGTAGATTCTTTTGAAAAAAACTATTATGATTGTAATGCTGAAAATCAAGAACATTATAAATCAAAAGGCAATTATGATGACCAAGTTAATATTGACTATTTTGAAGATACGACTGAAAATGATTATATGGGACTTGCAGAAAGTGTAACTGAAAATTATTTTATAGCACTAGCAGAAAACATAACCACAACGGAATTCCCAGAAATTGAGGTAGAAAGGATGAATCGAACTATAGACTGTCCAATGGCTAATTGTAGCACCGTGGTGTTCGTGGAAAACCCTACTGTAACATTCTATAACATAACTACAGAAGTTGTGTGGCTTGCTGGTACAAAACCGTTACATCAAAAAATTCCTCTTGAGCACGAATACAAAAAAACTACCATTACTTATAGTGGAAATTTATCTAGCACAGAACCACCAATGGAAACAGAACCAACACCAAAAACCCCAGCTACACGGTCCACTACTCTACATAGCTATAGAAGTACCATTAGTACAGCAAAAACTTCTTCCAAACGTATGAAAGCATTTAATACCCAAAAGCGTTTTATAAGAAAATTAAGAAAACAGACATAATTCTTTCGTTGATAGAAACAAAACATTGAAGTGTTTAAACTTAATCATATTAATTAATTATAATATATAATTTAGCCTGAATACGTATAATTAGTGTGTAACTAAATAAAGAGAATACTGATATTACGACCAAGAAATTTTAAATATGTTATTTTAGTAGGAAATAAGACATAGATAGAATTTAAGTAAGGAGAAATGTATATTATGTATTATAGTTATTCGTAGACTTTCTGTTAACTAATGGTTGTTGTTTGAATTCCACCTTTATTCGTATATCGTCATGACATGTGACGAAAATCAGAAAAATGTGAATTGTAATTATACGATCAAAAAAGAAATTGGAATTTAATAAAAAAGTTACTTTATAAAAGTAAATATTACGTGTTAACCAAGAGTTTAAAAAAAAAAAGTTAAAATGTTTACCCTTATAATAATGCCGGTAGTGCAATTAAGTCGAGGAACTAGGTAAGCAGTGGTTTGTTAGGTGTTGTTCACGGCACCCGACGTGCGTAAAATGTTGTGGAGGCACTGGTGTTACGTCTAGAGGATTCGATCCCGGGATTTCGGGATTATCTACAGTTAATCTCGGAATCCCGGGATACTACCGGGATTGTATTGGCAATGTAAAGTGGTAACAAAAAGACACTAAAACATATCAAAATCATTTTTTTGTTTATCTTTTAGTTGTGTGAGGACATAGAATATTTAAGTTTTAACTCTCCAAAAAGGCGGTTAAACAAAATTATACTTACTTCTTGTAAAATAAACAAACTAGTGCCTAGTTTGTTTTGTTTCGGTAAATAATTTATGAAACTAACAATAAACTGGAAAAAAATCAACTTATTTAGACTTATTTAGATAAACTATAAAAAAACTATATGCTAAAGAGATCAATATTTATAGATACCTACTCATATTTTTAAATTGAATTGACCAAACACTTTATAAATTACTTATTTAAACCACGAAAATAAAATCTAAGGAGTAACAACGCATCCAGCGTCTCATCTGCGAGCATACTTCTCAATTTGTTGCACAAATATGAAGAGGCTGAAAAAGAGCGTTCGATGGAAGTTGGAGGAATTGTCAATAATTTTTTATAAGTCTTCTCCAAATTATAATCTCGAGTGGAACTGGCTTCAAAAAGATCCATTTCTTGTTTAATGATTTTAGAAAAATCTGTTTCTTTATATGTTTCTGGATTTAATGTTTTCATGCTATTTTCAGTGTTTTATTTGAAACCGAAATTGTTGTTCTGCATCATTAATTATTTCTGTTTTCGGACATAATATTGTGGACAATATTTCTTTAAAGATTAAATATGCTTTGGACAAACGTGTCGCATGTGCGACCGTAGCTGATCAAATCACATTGAATCCAATTTGATCCTATATTGGATGCGACTTTTAGTAAAACTATGTTGACGAGGAACTGTCTTTGTTTATTACAAATCTATCCAATATGAACGCTCCAGTTGATCTTTCTGTCCATTTTGACCAAGGTATGGTTGATGGTCAGTATTTTTGTTGGTGGGGCAATCACATTCTATTATTACACATATATCATTATATACACATATGAGCAGTTATGACTAGGGAAAATTATTTTGTTTAATAAGGAGTGTTTAATATACAAAGATATGACATGTAATGGTTGCGTGTTATCTGTATTTAATAAACACCCAGAATCGTGATACCATCTCATGCGTATTTTAAGGCCGGACATAAAGAAATCGCAGCTTTTTGCTCATATTTGTCTGTTGCGAATAAACATGTGTCGTAAGCAAATTTGGAGCTGAGAGCTTGTGCAATATTTTATGTAGTTATCTATATCATGAATCTTTATAGTCTAAAGTATCAAATGACCGTAAGAATAAACCAAAACCAAAATATGATTGAATACGTTTCTTGATAAAGGTATCAAGAAATGAATTCAGTTCATCAGAGAACTTCAAAAAGAGTTCTGTTTTGCTTTTTCCTGGTTGAGAACATATTGGTTCCGAGTGATGACGTAATGTCTTTTGTAGTTAATGTATTTGATAACTGATATATCGATCGGTATCTAAGGTATCGAACACACGATCTGTTGCTTAGTAGGTAGCTTCTTATATTATTTCTTATAATAGTAATTGAAAGAAATATCCCCTATTCCAATCACTTGCAGCTTCAGAATACTTATTTATTGACACACGTTATTCTGGTGAGGCGCTCCTTTCACCTCTCTTGCACTTTGAGGCACAAATAATTTCAATGATTGATATATTTTTGTTACTTAATATTGTCTTCGAGGCGATTTATGCGCACGTAAGACCAAGCGTCGCCGGCGTGTTGCTTCATTAGATTGCATCACTTTCATTTTCACACATTTCACTATCTTGTTACATTATTCTAGAAACAATTAATTTGAATATAGAAGAACACGTTTTAAGCAAACATTAATTTTAAGAAAAGAATTAGTTAATTATTTATAATTAGTAAATCGCTTAGTTATGAAACGCAAAACAATCCGTTTTGTAACTGCTGCAAATAGTATTTATTGCTCTATTACAGAACAATTTATTATAGGAAGATAATTAAAACTTAAAGAAAGAAACAAACACACGACTTGTTAATAATTTCTTCTAATAATAAACAATGTCCGTTTTTGACATATTCACAGTTATATAATATTTATTGTTAGGGACGGACATAAAAACCGTTGAGCATACAGAACGTGCGCGGGAATATGAAGAAAGGGGATTTACCCTTGTCAACCAGGAGACGGGCGCTGTAATAACCACGAGCAACCCAGATAAAAGGAACTCAATAACAACGTCTTTTGGTACAATGCTGATGTTGTGAGCCACGAACATATATACCAACAGTTTATACAGAAAAGTTTTATGTACCTCACAAGAAATTACCAAGACCTTAAAACAAGTTCTTGAAAATATATAGTCATAGTGAGAGCGAAAACAAATACAGTAAGTACGACTTAATTTGGTAATTTTAGACAACAAACGTGGACAGTAAGTATACAGAACGTGTGCGCTGTGTGGTAGAAATGTGTTGACCATGTTTTAAAACAATAATACCCTTTTGACCATTCTTTGAAAGGTAAAATTGTGATAGTGAACTAGAATGAATGAAGGACTAAACATTAATTTTTGTTCTCAAGTAGTTTCACTAAAAATGAAAACTTATTTTATGTTATTTACTATATGATAGTGTAGCTATTAAGTAAAGTTTAACGTAACTAACTTTAACTAGTTTAACGTAAATAACTTTTAAACGTACTAAAACTAATTGCAAATGTTTGGCACTATAGAATTTGGATAAATATAGGAAACCACAATATTGTAGGTATAGAGTTGTTGTGCCAACATCGACACAAAAGAAACATGTTAATGCATGCATTGCTCGATGGCATTTCCATGCCAAATCATAACATACTGATAAGGTTTCTTGTTTACAGATACGAATACGAATCAAGCCGAATATATTGTATTATCACAGTTTAACTATGCAGTGTTTTATATACTAGTACGTCATGTGGAACATCGTCTACTTAGGGTTAATGTTTAACGTTATGCATTCATTTATTACAGCATCCATTCTCCCAAATCCTGGAAGCAAAATACCTGTCATTCAAAAATTAAAATATGTACGAGCCGGATCTGAATTGAAGAATATGTTGTTAAAAAAAAATAGCAAACATTTAGTAAGTGATTTATCCTCGATTCATGGTGACACAGTCGTATTACATAAAAATCAACGCCTAAGTTTTGCGACTGCCCGTGATATAACAGTTGGACCTAAAGTCAAACAAGCAATGCCTCGAAAACGCCGAGATATTTCAAAAACATCTATTCCCCAACCAACTGAAAACTTGGCTAACTACGACGACACACAAAATTCCTCAGCCAGTAATGAAGAGCATCGAAGACAATACCAAAAAAAAATGGCTGCAAGGGGAGCCAGTGCGACACTGAAATATGTAAGAACCAAAAGTACGTATCCTCCGCTTCCAGACGAGTTAACAACGGAATCGACAGTTCCTGTTACATTTATGGCAATGTGTGGTATCGCAAAATGTAGGAAACACAGCTGGGTCGATCCCGATCCGGTGTTGAAAGAAGGGATTCTAAGATTTAAAGCGACCAGTAACGTCAAACTTACAAATAAAAAAATTAACAATTAGGTGCAAGTAAAGACCATTTTTTATTTGAGGTCAAGACAACATTGTTTAGTAATGTTTAACAACATTGAGTTTTGTACAAATATATGCATATGTAACTAGTAGTGTAGTTTTAAGAAATAGTGAGGGCGATTTAAGTACAATAAGAAGATTTACTTACAATAAAAACGCATCAAAACGTATTTATAAACAATGTAAAACGTAACGTAACGTAACGTAATGTAACGTAACGTAACGTATTTATTGTTATGCAATTAAATGTCAAGTAATACAAAAATTTATTTAATATCTATTATATATAAATAAACTATTTATAATCAAATAAGAATTTCTAAACATTCAGACATTACGAAAAAAAGCTAAACATTCTTGTATTTTGTATTTTTAGAAATATATTAAAATATTTCTGATTTAGGTAAGAACCTACAGTACTAAGTTGAAATATTTTAAAGCAATAGTCATCAGTTTTAGTACTAGGTAAGATGTTTCGTACCCCGTCGACCGGATTGAGGAGGCAATCGGCGCGGCAGATTGCTTGCTACAGACGTCCGGGTTGGCCGGGGGCCCCCAACAGGAGGCCCTGGTAGCGGTCGTGCGCTCCATAATCGAGGCGGGCAGACTCCTCGTGGCCGAGAGCAAGGCCCACGTTAGGGAGAAAGCCCGCCTCGAGGCGGATCTCGCCAAGGCTCGTGCCCACGCTGGTGCCACACCAGCGTCTTCGGCGCCGTTGGCACTGTCCGCCCGTAAGGAGCCGGACTTAGTCCGGCTCATGGTGGAGATGAAGGAGCGGATAATGAGGCGTATCTCCGCAATAGAGAGCGCCCGTTGTAGCCCACCTCTGGCTCCGCCAAGGGCGACCTATGCGGCCTCTGCCAGGGCGGGCCTAACAGCCCAGCCAACAGCTAGTGTGGCTGGGCCATCATCAGCGTCCCCGCCTGAGAAGGGCGGAAAGGGCAAAGGGAGGGGGAAGGCGGCCCCAACCCAAGCCCTAGTCTCCGCCCCGGCTGACACCGCACAGCGCCCGTTGGAGCGGGGCTGGATGGTAGCCGGGGAGAGTAAAAAGAGGCGGAAGGCCGCCAAAAAAGCGGCCAAGAAGGCGAGGAGGGACGCCGGGACGGGAGCGCCGAGGAAGCTCCGCGCCCCTCGCTCCTGGGCCGTCATTATCACTTTGACGGCGGAGGTAGCGGAGAGGGGCATGGGGTACGCCGAGGTCTTGACGAAAGTCAAGGCCAACGTGGACCTCAAAGCCCTCGAGATTCCGGGCGTCCGGTGTAAAAACACACTGACGGGGGCCCGGCTCCTCGAGGTCGCCGGTGCTACCAGTGGCCCCAAAGCCGACACCCTAGCGGCTAAGCTGAGGGGGTCACTGGATGCAGCTGACGTCCGAGTGTCCAGGCCCACTAAATGCGCCAAAGTTCGTATCACGGGCCTGGACGACTCTGTCATTGCGGACGAGCTCAGACTCGCCGTGGCGGAGACAGGAAGCTGCCCTCTGGACAGCGTGAAGGCCGGCGCAATACGCTTCGGCCCCGGTGGACAGGCGGCAGCGGTTGGCAGCTGCCCCATCGCGGCGGCCCGGAAGGTCGCCGATGGACGGAGCCTCCTGGTCGGAGGTTTCCTAAGGGCGCAGGCACGACTCCTGCAGGCCCGACCGGCAAGGTGCTTCCGTTGCCTGTCGGTAGGGCACGTAGGGGTGCACTGCACGGCGGAGGCCACCGTAGGTGATCGATGCTTTCGCTGTGGCCAGCCCGGTTACAAGGCGGGTGGCTGCAACGCTAGGCAGCGTTGCTTTAGGTGCGCAGCGGGGGGCAAGCCTGCCGACCACCGGATTGGTGGTAAGGCCTGAGCCCTATCGGGGCCGAAGCCGGGAGGCCCACCTCCCGCCTCCGGGCCGCTGATCCAGACGGAGGGTGCCGCTGGAGAGCGGCAAAGTTCGCTGCGGGATGCGGGGATGGAAGTCCAGTGATGGATTCACATCTCCGCATCCTCCAGGTGAATGTAGGATACGGTGCCGATGCTCAGGATCTTCTGCTCCAGAGCATGGCACAGTGGTCCATCAACATCGCCGCTGTCGCCGAGCCATATGTCCATCGGTTCCTCGGGCCTGCCTGGGAGACCGACTTGGACGGCACGGCGGCACTGGTGCACTGTACCGCAGCCGGCACTCCACCTCTTGCAGTGGTTGCAAGGGGACGGGGCTGCGTAGCGGCGATGGTTGGGGATATAGCGGTCGTGGCCGCTTATTTCACGCCGAACCGAAACATAACGTCGATGCCTGTCGCCCCCACCCGGTTCTTGTGCTGGGGGACTTCAACGCCTGGTCGCAGGCTTGGGGTTCCCTGCGCACCATCATCAATATTAATAGTCCACTGCTGGACACAGGCCTCTCCTTACAAAGGAAGTTTTGGCCGACTAGACCACGCTGGCCAGACGGGTTGGTATAGGGTTTGTGTCAAGTTTTCCTTCTTTTTTCTGGTGTCCTGCGTTGTTTTGCGCCCTTAGTCGGCTCTTACGACACCCACGGGATGATTTGGTGTAGTGACTTATTCTTAATCATGACGGATTAAGAATAAGTCACTACACCAAATCATCCCGTCCGGATACACGGATACACGGACCGTCACTACAAGCCACTCATCATAACCCTATTGAAGAAGACACTCTGTTCGACCTTTCATTACTTCGTCTCTTGCAAAGGTTTCATCGCATGGACAATGCTTAGCAGCTAGATTTTCATGCCACGACCTGATTTTTATTACGTATAAAATCAAAACGCCTAAGCCTAAGCCGAAAATTATGTTCAAGCGCAGCTTCGAACGTATGAATTAAGACAAACTTTAAGAGGATGCCTCTCATACCAACTGGGAACCGCTAGCGGCAGCAGCCACCGTCAATGTATAGATTCAAATATTGAACAAAAACAATCTGCACCTATGTATATAATATTCAGGCGCCAGTAAAGGCGCATATCGCGACGGCGCATAAATTTAAGCTTGGGGTACGCAAGCTCTATGGATACTTGTTGAAGGAGTCATCAGAATAATCGACTTTGTGTAATGTTATTATTTATGACCATATGTATGTATCGGCGGACGGCTGGTTTCCGGGCGGATAGTGGCAGTCGGCCCCCGCCCGAAGAGATAAGCGAGTGGCGTGAGGCCACTCGCCGAGCCACGATGGCTCATTGGTCGTCCCGGCTGGAGGCTCCACGTGCTGGCTTTGCCGCCGTGGAGGCGCTCCAGCCGGTCATCGTCGAGTGGGCAGGGTGGCAGCACGGGACCTTTTCCTTTCGGCTGACGCAGGTCCTTTCCGGGCATGGCTGCTTCGGGTAGTACCTGCACTCGGTCGCTAGGAGTTAATTGATACCGTATGTATTTATATATACAGGGTTACTGGGTCAGTTAAATACTTTAAGGGATTGTAGTTGCCATCATTTCTTATAGAATCTTCTCACTATTAAATACTTTATCCAAAACCTAACTATTTTCAACTTTTAAGATTTTTTATAAAAATTGCCGAAATTTTGCTTCATTCAATTTTTTTACAACTTACATCCTTTTTTTTTACTTTTTTACTTTTTTGTGTAATTGATAAATAGTTTCTTAATTTTTATTACTAAGCTTGTAGTTAACTTAAACAAACTGGGCCAAAGTAGATGGTTAATAATAGATGAATTGATTGATTAATAAATGAATGAAACACTAGTTTTAATTATACACCTGTCACACACAGCTCTGCACCCCCCAAAGGCTGACTAGAAGAAAATGCCTATGGCATGAAGTCCGGCTTATGCAATATATTTGCAGGAAGTATTAAATATAATCATCATAACAACTTGGGCCAAATGTCTTGGGCCGAATGTCCATATGCAGTACCTACAATTTTATATAGTGTTCGGTATTTTATTACTAAAACTATGTCGTAAGACTAAACGTTAATTCTTAAAATAATATTTGTGTATCTACTAAGATCTCCATCCATCCAGCCTTACTTCTAGGTGTACTCATGCTATGTACTGCGTGCGTGCTAGTTTATTGTATTCGTACAGTTTATTGGTACAAAAAACAGAAAAAAATCATTAATTTTCCCTCATAATTCCTCCATCCTCCATTTTTTATTTGTGCATGTTTTTCGTTGTGTGTCTCTAATCTGTCATAAATAATGATATAAAAGGGATATCTGGTATAGAATATTTATTATTGAAAGTCTAAATATATCTCTTACACGTCTTTAGATATATATCTCTATATATGTCTTAGACCTGAAGAATGCACGAGAATCCTCACAATGCTGGATGACGGATGGAGCCTGCGCGATATTGCAAGAACGGTCATTGTATCTTTGGTGACGAGTTGTTCGACGTTTTCAAGAATTTGGATCTAACCTGCGCAGATCAGAAACAGCAAGAATTATATGAAGGACGGTTATCTGCTCTCAATACTCTGTAATCGATTTGTTATGGGCTTGCGCTAAAAATCAGAGGAAGTATCCCAAGCAAATGGACTAAAGCGGATGTCTTACTGAAGTCAGTTCAGCCCCAAAACGATGGGTCCAAAATTACAGTAAGAGCATCGTATTGCAGAGAGAGAGAGAGTAGAGTTTTGTTCATGGAATAATTTCATGTTATTCAAGCGTGCTGGAATACAGAGTATACGGAAAACCATTCTTCCAGCAGGCGTATAATAAATAGTTTTATACGGCGCGGCGGAGAGTCCGTACTTGGGATTTTGTGTATTACTTGGAATTTCTTGCGAGGACCGAACTGAGCTCATAATTTAACATGATACCATGGCATTTCATGGTATGGGACTTGAGTTTACTTAAATACTATTTCAGGTACTATTAAGAAACACCAGCCATTCAATTAATGACGACCGAATGGCGTAGTGGTTTGTGTAACGGACTGCTATTCCAAAGGTCGCGGGTTCGATTCCCGCTCAAGTCAAACATTTGTGTGCATGAACATTTAATGTTTGATTTGGTCTGGGTGTTTCTATGTATAATAAGTATGTATTTACAAAAAAAAGTTGTCTAGTACCCATAGTACAAGCTCTGCTTAGTTTGGGACTAGATGGCGTTGTGTGAATGTGGTAGAATATTAATGACAAAAGGCAATTTCTTTTAGATGGATAATTTTCTAATCAGATATCTCACAACCTTAATCTAACATTTCCTTCACTTGTTAGTGACATTAAAGTGTTAACAGTTCAAAAGCGTTTTGTAGAGTTTTTGATAATTTGTCTTCCAAACAGAACGATAAGAATTCTTAAATAAGTAGCTATTATATCTAAGAGGGCCTTTTTTAATCGGCCTGTTAAAACGTGGCTCCTTTTCATTACTCTTTGAGACTATATTGGGCTGATATATCGTGGGGCAGAAATGGTGTAATGCAATTTGAACGGCGTAACATAACAATCTGATTACTTTTACCTTGTTTACATATATGGTATTCGTTAGTTACATTTTCTCTAAATAACGAAGTAGTTTTAACTTGCACGATATGTGGGGTCTTATCATTGCTATTGTAGGCTTTAATAAATTGAATCCAGTATATACCGAGCATAACAACGTACGCACATCTAACCTTTATAAATACGATACGATAAAATACGGTTTTAGCCCCAAATTAAAGAGATTGCAATTTTCAAAGCCAATGTGGGAAGTTTTGATTATACCACTGTCTTATAGTGAGTCAAGTTGTGATACCTCTAAAGGTAATTTACTTCAAAAAACTAATTGTTACATGCTTCGAAGGCAAGCCTATCCATTTAAAAAAAGACTTTCAATGTTGCCACTGCAAAATCCTTATCCCGATTTGAAAAGTGTTTTACGAACCTATGATATGCAACGTATTGCACGAGCAAAATATATTGTTGGCCGACCAACTCATAGTCCTCGATATAATAAAAGGTATAGCCACTATAAAAAACTTAAAAGAGATGATACGGCAGAAAAAGACGATTCCAAAAACAAAGATGACAAGCAAACGAACAGCAAGCAAACAGAGAAAGACAAAAGTGAAGATCAAGAAGAAAGCGTTACTATACCTACATCGAGCACTGTAATGACTAACAGTCTTCAATCCAGTGCAATATGTCCTGACCTAGCAAGGTGCAAAACTTTCAATTTTCGCGCAAGAGATAAAGCACAAAACTCAGAAGAGAATATGGCAATTCCAAAAAGAAAATTCTTGCTACTCTTAAATTAAAGCAATGAGAAACAAAGTGCTTCATGTTACAATTAGGTTACAATAAACAGAATAAGAAAATATCCACTGTTTAAAAAAAAAACCAGTTCTGAGTCCAGTTAGGACAGAATATTTTGAAAATAAAACGCAAACAAGCTTTCAACCACTAAGGACTCTCTCACTCAAGACTCAGAATAATGAAAAGATTTTAAATAAACAAAATACAGAAAATAATATGGTGACGAATTAAAAATACGGAATGTCACCATCCCTATTCATCCCGTGGGTAGCGTAAGAGCCGACTAAGGGAGCAAGCTACGTAGGACAACAACACTGCAAAGAGAAGGAAAACTTGAAACAAAGCCTAGGTATAGGGTTGTTTCAAGTTTTCCTTCTGCCTTCCTGTACAGGTTGGTAAACCTGTTTGGCTAGCGCGGTATAGCAGACCAAAACCTCCTTACTGAGGAGAGACCTATGTTCAGCAGTGGACTATGAAAGGCTGTTGATGATGATGATGAATAAGTTGAGAAGCAACTATTAAATTAATAATTTATAAATATACTACTTAATTACGGAATAAGTTTGATAATTATTTACTTCTTTTAATTTCTAATTCATTTTACATCAGGTGGACACGTATTATTTGTGAAAATTAAGAAAATAATATTATTTTTTAACATTGTGTTATATTAATTATTTCATGCTTGATGTTTGTATCCAATCATTTATTTCTAAGCTAGCTGACTCGGCAAACTTCGAACCGCCATATTTTTGCTTTCGTGAATATTTTTGAAATTCCTGGAACACTCGTTTTACTATATCCCCGCCTCGGCATCACACAGGTGGTATACGAGTACAGTTGCGAACTAAGGAAATGTCACACTTTCGGTAAATTTAAATAAATTTCAATAATTCAATATGTTGACATTACTTGCTTACTGATAAAAAAAGGACAAAATCTTAATAAAATAAAATGGTGGTATGGTTTGCCGACTCTCGAGCACGTAACGTACAATGAAACGCCCAACGCCCATTAAAAAAACGGCAATTCAAGGTTTATTCCACACTCTTCTAAGGATGGACCTTGGGATTAATCAAAGTCATTGACGCATGCAACCGATTATGCTCATGTAAGGGTTGTCGTAGCTGAATGATAATCTCTCTCCTACCTGAATGATTGATAGTACAGCGTTCGTTTACTTCAGCTTCAGAATTCCCCAGAAAATAATTTTAAAGAAAATTGTAATCGCCATCGCCTGATGGCAACATTGCTCCTGCACAGTGGTGAATTTATGCTTAAATCTTTAATATTGAACATAAGGAAATATTTAAAGAAACCTTCATTTTTGAGCCTCTCTACAATTTTCATATATGTAGATTTAAGTTGCAAAGGATGTGTATAATATGTGTTACATAGTAAAAAACATACCTTAAAAGTTAGATTGAAACCACGTTCTTCAATAATATATGCACCAAATGATGCCATTAAGAACGCACTCTTGTAATTTTGAATATTCTGCCAGAAATTCCTTAATAAAGGTTCTTGCCCTGAAAGTAATGAATTTAGTGGTTTACAGGTGGCGTCGTTACTAGTGTTAATGTGACTTTTCCATTCGCACAACATAATCCTGGTGGTGCGTTGTGGAAACCTCAAAACATTTACAAATAGTGCTCATTTAACCAAAATCAACTGTTGTATTATATCTAAACGCTAAACGTTCATAGGCAACTGTTAAATTTGATCGTCTTTTTTATTGCCCCACGCTCGAAGTCGATGGTGTTGGTTCTGCCGGAGTCGTGGTAAATTTTGATTGAGAAATTCACATTCTTTTTTCGCTTTGCTTCTAAAGTCTTGTCGGCAAAGATGACATCATTCTTACACTGTCGTGGTTTCTTTCTTACAAGCTGTAGTAAATAATAACAACAGTAAATACAATCAAAATGTATTCCAAGGTCTTAACAAGATTTGTACTCGTACATAGAACCGTACGGTTCGAAGGTAGTAAATAAAGACAACAGTAGATACAAATAAAGATGTATTGTTGTATTCCAAGGTCTTACGGACGCATTGCTTGTGCACGTGTTTATCAAATGTTAGGCCAAATGTTGTGTGGACGGGCAACTCTGGTCTTACGATTGTGAGGTGACGGAGGGAGAGCTGGACCGAGTCGTGCGGCGGCTGGCTTTCCGCGACACTGCGCCCGGACCTGATGGTATTCCAGGTCGGGCGCTGGTGTTAGCTCTTCCCCTAAGCTGGAAAGAAGCGAGACTGGTCTGGACTGGACTCTTGAAAAGGAAGGAAGGACTGCAGATTCTCCCTCTGCGTTCCGACCGATATGCTTGCTGAACGAGGTGGGGGAAAGAGGGTTATATCTGATCGTAGCAGCCACTTTGGATTCCGACGGAGGCGATCGACATTGGACGCTGTCAGGTACGTTCGCTCCATTTCGGAATCAGCACCCTCTCCTGGCAGGCGATAAGGGCGGCCCTGTAATTTCATGAGTCGTGCGGGGCTATCGTACGATCTCGTTTGAGGCGGCGACGGTCCTGGCGCGATATGAATCCTTCGACATTCTGGCCGACATGGACATGATGGTCTATTACCAAGTGTTCTCTGTCGCTCGGAATGGTGAGCAGGCCGCGCCGGATCATGAGCCCGGAAAGCTACAGCGGAACGCGCATACGCATTCTCTACGGGCGTGGCAGGCACTACTAACTGCCGAGGTAGGCCGGTAAATCAATCAAATTATTTATTTTTTATTTATTGAAATTATTGTATATGAATTAATGTCACCATACTGTCAATGTTGACACTAATTTTTGGTCAATTTATAGAAGATCTCTCATTCACCCACCCGCTTTTTTAATACTAAGATTTTTGAAAAATCTGTTCGTTTTTTATTAATTTTCTTTTATATAAATTTTGTCTTGACAATAAAGAATACACAAAATTATTATCCAATGTAGTGCAGTCGCTTAGAAGTTATGCACGTACATACATTGCAACGATTCACTTTTTTTTATAGTATTTTAAATGGCTTAGTAATAAACATTTTTTTACCTATATAATTGAATCACTTTATTTTAATTTACGTCTTATATACTAAGTAAAAATATATTAACTTACCCGTTCTATATTACTAATAACTAATTTTAAAAATTACTACCGGTCCGAGGCAAACTACGAGGTATTTAAACACACCCCCGTTTCCGACTCGAAACACTTTGCCTTAGGGCTAAAGTGTCACTATGTTGGAGCATGTATATAAGGTATTTCAATCACCAATCATAAAATAATAGTACTGCTCTTGAATAAACGTCGACAACAAAATGTGTAACTCTGAACATAATTTAGTAAACTGGCTGGTTTTAGTGAAAGAATGCAAACAATATTTATTTTAAATCTAAAATTTAATAATATGTCACTATTTCAAAGGTAAGGATACTCATTAAAGTTATATTCTTATAAAGGCTGTAAAATTCTTAAAAAGATAATGTTAACTCAAAATATTTTTAGTTATATGAATTCGATGTAAATATTCGTAAAAAAATACGAAGTCCTAAGAAAAATGCTTGGCCGATATTGAAATAGCTAAAATTCCAGATTTAAAAATAGTAGTAGTACCTACTAGTTTTAATTTTGCTACAAACATTTTTTTATTTTATTTTTTATGTACGAGCAGACGGGTCACCTGATTTAAAGTGACTATCGCCGCCCATGAACGTCTGCAACTCAGGAGTCACAAACGCGTTGCCGGCCTTTTAGGAAGGAGTACGATCTTTTCTTGAAGGTCGTATCGGTCCGGAAATACCGCAGATAATAACCCGTTCCACAGATTGGTTGTGCTTAGTGGTACTTAACTTGTGCTTGGTGGTACTTAACCTAAAAACATGCGCCCTCTTGTATACTTCAAATACAGCCACAAGCATAGCGTGCACAAGAGACCCAATCTTACAATATAGGCAACGAGAGATGGATAATAGAGAGTTCCCTCTATCTCTTTCTAGTCGAGCTCTGTGGTTGGCTGGGGAAATTTTTAATCGCCCGCCTGTTCTACGTTTAAAACCTCGCCCACTTCACAATAGCCGATCGCAGATCAGCTAAACAGAGATAGAGGGAACTATCGGGCATCCATCTCTCTTGTTGCCTGTATTGCTTCCACTTACAGGCAGTTGTACCCCGTGTTCTCTCTATGAATGCAGCTACACGAAACGCGATCAAGGCATTATCACTCACATTATCGAATAGTTCGGACGTATCTAGAATATAAAAATTTCTTGCAACGTTTTTAACTGTGCAATGATATTGTTAAAACTCTCAGTATCTTCGAAGAAATTCACTAAATCAATCACATACATATATGTTGATGTAGCATAGCAAAATTAAATGAAAAAATATTGCACAACATTAATTTTTTGGTCAAATTATAAAAAAAAGTAAAAGAATAATCAAGTTAGAACCAGAACAAAAATAGCAGTAACAAATGATGAATTCATAACCGAGTCGAACTCATAACGACATTAATTACTAGCACAATATCAGTTGGGTATGCATAAGAAATGTCAAGGTAGTTTTTATGAGTCATTAGTGTATCGATTATATTTTATCATTTTCAACATTGGTTCTTGTATGAGTATGTTTTTGTTCCCTAGTATGGAATTACTTTATTTGCTTTTGAATGAGTAAACTTTATTGCATGTGACTGTGATAGCTTCCATTTTTATCGATATAGTCAGAACTCTAGTAACAAATCTCTAGTATCATGCAATCACTGATAACGGACTTACGGGTAGGCGCTGTAAATAATAACGTTGTCAGTGACATCAGCTATGCTAATTACTAATTTTAATACAGAATTGATCAATCAACACTTCGCTACGTCTTCCAATTTCGACTCTACATAATCTTTTATAAATGCTTGAGAAAGGCATTATAGAGGTAGCAACGTATAAAAAAAAATTAAACCTCCTTTAACTACAGATAATGAAGGCAAGCTTAACTACGTAATAAATTCCGATCC